CAAAAGCAGGGATGAAAGTCGTCATGGACAAAGTGTTCGAGTGCCAGCATCACCCAAAGCATGGAAAGACAAGTGGGTTCCTTAGACTAACGTTAGGGACGACGGTTGCTGCAAACAAGAACCCAACAGTGGTCCTTGGAAAGCATTTCGGATCTTCTTCCTTCACTGGCTTCAGAACTAAAGTAAAAAAACTTCAAATGAAAAAAGGCTGGGGAGTACATACATGAACATCGCGTCGGGACCGTGAAAACACAGCGTGTCACAGGAAAATTGATCACGTCCTGCAGCAAACCATGCATGCTGGTTGCATGCCAAATGGGCAGCGCGTGCACAGCATGCCCCGTCTCGACCCCTCTCGCGAAACTGAACGCCAAAAATAAGTATGGCTTATCCGAAGGGGAATTAATTAATTGGGCACTGATTCCGATGAGCTATGTCTCGAGCCAATCAGAGAAGAGGAACCGTGTCAAATTTCATAAATAACACCTTCCATATTTGGAAATTGGGCTTGATGACGTGCGTACTGCTTAGCTGTCACCATGCTGTGCATGCTCAGCAGTGTAATTCACTAATTGAATGGAAGAAAACAATTACTTTGGTGTTTTTGCAGCTCTATTTCGTTACCTGACGTTAACCAAATATCTAGATGTAGGAATCTGTTGAGCAGGAGAGTGACACATGTCTACCCGAAGGCTGTCCAGGCTGCAGTGGTGATGAAGAAGACACGATCATCACCCCGAGATCGATTGTAGCGAATTGGAAAACTCATGGTGAATTTGCTTCCACTCCAAGGCAATGTCGAGGTATGAAGGGTGCTTGTACTGCCTTCCAAAGTGAAGAGGAGATGAACATGGCTGTGCATAGCTGTTGTTCTACGCCAACTTACCTACTCTTGCTGATACCGTAGTGGCATATTGCAAATTTCGTGGACGAACAACTCTCTAGTCACTTTGCCCGTAAAAGAGGCCTTCCCAAGTCACTAGTGGCTAATGAGCAACACTAACAGGTGAGATTTTTCAATTTGACAAAAATTGTTTTTGTTTGAGAACTGACAGTGGCAGTCATTTGACTCAGTAGGTGTCTTTGCTGCTTCTTTCCCTTCATTCGTAGGGTTGTGCTTGAATAGTACAAGTGCTTGAAGTAAAATAAAATAAATAGAACATGTGGAACATAAATCTAATCAAGCATCAGTACATGTATTGCGAATTTCAACTTCAAAGCACATGAAATCACAGTGATCACAAAGTTTATGGAATCAGGAGGACACCATGTGTTCAACGAACACATACACACATGCTGTGATTGCGCACACACATGTACACATGTGCGTGCACCCCATCCCACAGACACGCGCGTGCAGCGTGCACATCCATACACATGTGCATGTACCCCCCCCCCCCCGACACACACACACTCCTACCCATACACGTGTGCATAGGACCCACACACACACACACACACACGTGTACACAGACGAATACACAAACACACACGCCCGAACACACACAAGATACATGTAAGTGTACATGGTCTTCCTGGTGCAGATGCTGAGCCAGCACAATGGAAAATACCTCCATCAAGATGCTTGATCAAGTGTTGTGATAATGGCACTGTTTGTTTGTTTTTACAAAGAAGTGTGGGAAGGATTACAATGCGTTATAATTCATAATTGTTCTTTGCCTTGCACTGTGCAGACCAGAATGCTTCGCTATCAACTCCTGGCTTTCCATCGGCATGGTGTTCAGCTGCAGCGGCATCTGGTCCGGGGAGTTGAAGTTGCTGGATGGCTGCACTGACACAGGATGGGTTTGCGTTGGCAATGCGATACGGCAGTCATTCCACATCATGAGCTACATCGTAATTTATATTGTCGCTCGTCCTGCAACGTCAAGGCTCTGCATGTAAACACAGGAGAACACCATAATAAAAAACACTACTCAGGGGATAATATTATAATTTTGGATTAGCAATTTCGTGACATTTATGGGTTCCTGTCTAAACCATGCCGTGATATTGATTTCTATCTGTTCACAAAGGACCTTGTATTGTAACAATGCTCTGCCTAATCACTACCCTCCGCCAATTATTAGATTCACACAATATTCACAACGTATGCAACACAATTCTGTCTATTGACACTACTTCGAACTGAAATGCTCACTACTCTTCTCCCGTTTTCAGCTCCCTCTACCTTATGAATACTCTACATTACTGGTTTCGTTTCTACCCTTTCCATTGCTGCCAGCTCGCAGTCTTTTTCAATGCACAGCACCACCTTGAAATTTTTGTGATTTGATGTACACATACTTTGAAGTTGAAATTCTAACTTCATGATCAGATTTTTGTTCCACATTTTCTATTTATTTTTACTTCAAGCACAACCCTACCGATGAAGGGAAAGAAGCAGCAGAGAGACACCTACTGAGTCTAATGACTACCATTGTCAGTTCTCAAACAAAAACAAATTTTTGTCAAATTGAAAAATCTCACCTGTTAGTGTTGCTCACTAGCCACTAGTGACTAGAGTTGTTCGTCCACGAAATTCGCAATATAGCACTACGGTACCAGCAAGAGCAGGTAAGTTGGCATAGAACAACAGCTATGCACAGCCATGTTCATCTCCTCTTCACTTCGGAAGGCAGTACAAGCACCCTTCATACCTCGACATTGCCTTGGAGTGGAAGCAAATTCACCATGGAGTTGGTGGACAAGCCGTTGATTATTCACTCACATTGTAATATCGAAAAGTATTCTTTCTAGACCAAAGAGTGGTATATTTGATAACATTTAATAACATAGCAATGAAAAATATCAATTGTGCACTCATAACCAAGTATAAACAATTAAAATGAAACAATTCCAGAACGTTTTCGTGTGACCATCATCAGTGGAACATCGTCACATAGTAAGAATCACTAAAACAACCAGTTATATAGCTAGAATAATATGAAAAGAAGCGTGAGAATGCAGCACAGCTAGCGGTTATGCATAACGCGTGTAGTGTGAACCTTTGCAGTGTATCTGAGAATGGTAGCAGTAGATGAATGTGGCAGCTGTGAGTGCGTGTGAACAAAAACTGGTGAGTGCGTATTATTTAAAAAGTGTGAGTGCTACAACATTTTCTGTTTGCTTGCATAGAACAGGGTCACGTGTGCGAATATATACAGCTTCCAACACCTGCAACTGCTTAAAGAAACGCGCGCGACAAACAACACTAAACCAGGAATCGTCAAACAACTTACGACAATCCGGACTGGACACCAAATACTTGTAGATGGCAGACTTGCTCTTGTCGATGTCGAACTCCTCCTCGTCCGTATCACTCTCATCCTCCACTTCCTGTTCCTGCTCACCCTTGCTTTCCCCCTGACCATCCTGTTCATGAGAAAAATGAGAAATGGAGAAGGCGGAACCAGTAGTGGCAGGTGAAAGTACGGGCGCAGCAGTGAACACGTCAAGGAGAAAGAAGCGATGGCATGAGGAGATGGAGATGGAGGATGATGATGGGGATGAACAGGATGGTCAGGGGGAAAGCAAGGGTGAGCAGGAACAGGAAGTGGAGGATGAGAGTGATACGGACGAGGAGGAGTTCGGCATCGACAAGAGCAAGTCTGCCATCTACAAGCATTTGGTGTCCAGTCCGGATTGTCGTAAGTTGTTTGACGATTCCTGGTTTAGTGTTATTTGTCGCGCGCGTTTCTTTAAGCAGTTGCAGGTGTTGGAAGCTGTATATATTCGCACACGTGACCCTGTTCTATGCAAGCAAAAAGAAAATGTTGTAGCACTCACACTTTTTAAATAATACGCACTCACCAGTTTTTGTTCACACGCACTCACAGTTGCCACATTCATCTACTGCTACCATTCTCAGATACACTGCAAAGGTTCACACTACACGCGTTATGCATAACCGCTAGCTGTGCTGCATTCTCACGCTTCTTTTCATATTACTCTAGCTATATAACTGGTTGTTTTAGTGATTCTTACTATGTGACGATGTTCCACTGATGATGGTCACACGAAAACGTTCTGGAATTGTTTCATTTTAATTGTTTATACATGGTTATGAGTGCACAATTGATATTTTCCATTGCTATTTTACGACTGTTGTCTCCTCGTCGGTTATTTAAATACATTTAATAACGATAGAAATATTTACGATACTTCTCCAGACGTTCCGTTGTTCTGAACAACATCGTCAGTGGAGTGTTCCACTGACGATGTTGGAGAAGTATCGTAAAAATTTCTATCGTTACTAAATGTTATCAAATATACCACTCTTTGGTCTAGAAAGAATACTTTTCGAAATTCACCATGAGTTTTCCAATTCGATCGATCTCGGGGTGATGATCGTGTCTTCTTCATCACCACTGCAGCCTGGACAGCCTTCGGGAAGACATGTGTCACTCTCCTGCTCAACAGATTCCTACATCTAGATTTGGTTACCGTCAGGAAACGAAATAGAGCTGCAAAAACACCAAAGTAATTGTTTTCTTCCATTCAATTAGTGAATTACACTGCTGAGCATGCACAGCATGGTGACAGCTAAGCAGTACGCACGTCATCAAGCCCAATTTCCAAATATGGAAGGTGTTATTTATGAAATTTGACACGGTTCCTCTTCTCTGATTGGCTCGAGACATAGCTCATCGGAATCAGTGCCCAATTCCCCTTCGGATAAGCCATACTTATTTTTGGCGTTCAGTTTCCCTTTATTGTAGCGCTAGTCCTGGTGCCATAGGCCCATACTGGGCCGATAAGACGATGGTCGGATGGATGTGAAAATGATGAGATCAGAGAGCGAACGGCCTCCAGCGGACATGTGCCACATGTCCGCTGGAGGCCGTTCGCTCTCTGATCTCATGTGGGAACATTGATCCTGAGTTGAATGATGATAGAGTCTACATTGTCAGCTGGTGGTGTGGAGCAGTGCCAGTGGCACCTTCTCCTCTCACGTCCGCTGCAGCATTTCACCTTGTCAGCCAACACCTTCACTGCTTCAGCGAGAATGGTACCGTAGGAGTACAGTTCTGGTCGAATGGCGCGCATCGAGTCAGAATAAAGTTCAGAATACCGGCACTTCAGCTCATCATTCCAGTTTCGACACGTCCATGTTTGCCGTCGTTCGTTTCGGATGTCCTGTCGTCAACGTTCTCGTTAGTCCGTAACGCGTTACCGTTCTGTTATCGCCGTCGTGTATCCTGTGCTGCCCAAGACAACGTCTCGTTCCAGTGCCCGCAGGAATAAGCATCGTTTGCACCGTTGGAGCAAGGTTGCCGACTGGTCTTCGCCGACTCTTCGCCATCGAGTCATTCACGTTCACGATTGTACTGAAGGAATCGGGAAAAAATGAAGTCGCGAACAGTCACTACTATGATCATGATGATGGTCGTCCTACTCGTCGTGCCACTTCTAAACGGTAAGCTTGGACCAAAAATATAAAATGTTACAGCAAGTAACCGACTCGAACATTTGTATTGTGTTCTCTTTGCAATCATGTAGACCAAAGGCGGACAATGTCATGTACACGTAAACCTGTACTAGTTTTTGTAGTTCTCCTCTCGCCCTGCGTCTGACACAGCCAGGATTAGGAGTCACTCACTCACCACAAAGACATATTCAGTCTGACCCCTGCCCCGCACGCCTTGCCTTTCTACCGTCCTTCCCGCAAGCATCCTGTACATACTGTACTGTGGTAACCTGAATATCAGCTATGCGTGTCTACAGTGTGTATATCAGAAAGTCTTAGTTTTATTATGAGTCAGGGATACCGAATACTAGGGACAACATTGTTTGGCAAACCAATTTTCAACTTTGATTGGAATGGCAATGAAGTTTGTGTACACTACACAAGCGAATTATCTCTTATCCGGATTTGATTTACGGATATTTACATGTTCAATCAGGGGGGGGGGGGGGGGATTTTGTATCGTTGCCAATGAGGTTTGTCTGGTAACTGCACACTAGCAAGGGTAGACCTGTATTTTCAATCTAGTACATGAACTTCAATTTTACACCATAGCATTACCGTAACTTCAAACAACAGTGATAAACATGTTTCCCTAAGGGCGTGCATTTTGTCTATGCTGTGCATCATCTGCCTGTTATCCAAACGCTTTACTGATCTACAACACCATTACGGATTGCGTACAGTTGAAGGGCATGACTCTATTACAGCTTGTAAGTAATTTTATTTTGCAGTATCTCTACTGCAACCATGTTTGAAGTGGACAGTGCAGCCTTGGCTACAGCTTCATGCAGAACAGGAATCAGATAATTTTGCCCCTGGGATTGTTTGTGAATGGCTTGTGGAGACTGTGGGTGCTTGCACGACCTATGAAAAGAACAAATTACCTGTGATTTACTTCTTCTGTGTTGATCAGTGCATTCTAAATAATGTGCTTTTTTTAGAAGCTTGGTGGACAAAATTTTAGGAGAGTTGAAAATCTGAATGTTGAATGTTTGAAGATTCCCTGAGCAATTTAACTACAGACACCAATTCTGAACCCATACTCGGTGAACGCATACATGTATGTCTGAAATCGATGTTGAATATCCACTTCTGTCACCCAACATTTCCCTAATCACTGCCTGGTGTTTCTGTATATTTTCTGTATAGATACCCCTAAGGCCATTAACGCTACATCCGTTTCACCCACTAACGTTACATCCGTTTCACCCACAACGCAGTCCCAGCTACCAACAACGCCAGCCACAATGAATGCAACAGCAACTAGAGCATCAACACAGGCCACAGGACCAGCGGAGGTGGTGTCGACTTCAGGCACAACCAGCACGAGTGAGTTTGTTCAGTGAAACAAAGTATTTGGATTTAGGGATCTGGTACATGTCACACTTACTGTGATGTTTACAGACCCGCTCACAAGTGTATACCCGCCATATGACTCTCCTTGCACCGATCTGTGAAGTGCGGATTCTGTTAGCCTGGAGTAGTTTAGAGAGCGCGAGTGAGAGAGAGAGCGCGCGAGTGAGAGAGAGAGCGCGCGAGTGAGAGAGAGAGAGCGCGCGAGTGAGAGAGAGAGCGCGCGAGTGAGAGAGAGAGCGCGCGAGTGAGAGAGAGAGCGCGCGAGTGAGAGAGAGAGCGCGCGAGTGAGAGAGAGAGCGCGCGCGAGTGAGAGAGAGAGCGCGCGCGAGTAAGAGAGAGCGCGCGCGAGTAAGAGAGAGCGCGCGCGAGTAAGAGAGAGAGCGCGCGAGTAAGAGAGAGAGCGTGCGAGTAAGAAAGAGAGCGCGCGAGTAAGCGCGAGTAAGAGAGAGAGCGTGCGAGTAAGAGAGAGAGCGTGTGCGAGTAAGCGCGAGTAAGAGAGAGAGCGTGTGCGAGTAAGCGCGAGTAAGAGAGAGAGCGTGTGCGAGTAAGCGCGAGTAAGAGAGAGAGCGTGTGCGAGTAAGCGCGAGTAAGAGAGAGAGCGTGTGCGAGTAAGCGCGAGTAAGAGAGAGAGCGTGCGCGAGTAAGCGCAAGTAAGAGAGAGAGAAAGCGTGCGCGAGTAAGCGTGAGTAAGAGAGAGAGAGAGCGTGCGCGAGTAAGCGTGAGTAAGAGAGAGAGAGCGTGCGCGAGTAAGCGTGAGTAAGAGAGAGAGAGCGTGCGCGAGTAAGCGTGAGTAAGAGAGAGAGAGCGTGCGCGAGTAAGCGTGAGTAAGAGAGAGAGAGAGAGCGTGTGCGAGTAAGCGTGAGTAAGAGAGAGAGAGAGAGCGTGTGCGAGTAAGCGTGAGTAAGAGAGAGAGAGCGTGTGCGAGTAAGCGTGAGTAAGAGAGAAAGCGCCAGTAAGAGAGAGAGCGCGCGAGTAAGCGCCAGTAAGAGAGAGAGCGTGCGCGAGTAAGCGCGCGAGTAAGAGAGAGAGCGCGCGAGTAAGAGAGAGAGCGAGTAAGAGAGAGAGAGCGTGCGCGAGTAAGAGAGAGAGCATGCGCGAGTAAGCGCGAGTAAGAGAGAGAGAGCGTGCGCGAGTAAGCGCGAGTAAGAGAGAGAGAGCGTGCGCGAGTAAGCGCGAGTAAGAGAGAGAGAGCGTGCGCGAGTAAGCGTGAGTAAGAGAGAGAGCGTGCGCGAGTAAGAGAGAGCGTGCGCGAGTAAGCGTAATAAGCGCGAGAGAGAGCACGAGTAAGAGAGAGCGCCAGAGAGAGAGCGCGAGTAAGCGCGAGAGCGCCAGAGAGCGAGAGCGCCTGAGAGCAAGAGAAAGCGAAATTCCATTTATTTGAGAGCGTGCGCGAGTAAGGGCGAGTAAGAGAGAGAGAGAGCGTGCGCGAGTAAGCGCGAGTAAGAGAGAGAGAGCGAGTAAGAGAGAGAGAGCGCGAGTAACAGAGAGCGCCGGAGAGCGAGAGAGCGAGAGAAAGCGAAATTCCATTTATTTGAGAGCGTGCGCGAGTAAGCGCGAGTAAGAGAGAGAGAGTGTGCGCGAGTAAGCGAGAGTAAGAGAGAGAGAGAGAGAGAGCGTGAGTAAGCGCGAGTAAGAGAGAGAGAGCGCGAATAAGAGAGCGCCAGAGAGAGAGAGCGCGAGTACGCGCGAGTAAGAGAGAGAGCGCGAGTAAGCGCGAGTAAGAGAGAGAGAGAGCGCGAGTAAGAGAGAGAGAGCGCGAGTAAGCGCGAGTAAGAGAGAGAGAGAGCGCGAGAGAGAGAGAGCGCCCGAGAGCGCCTGAGAGCGAGAGAAAGCGAAATTCCATTTATTTTTTAACTAATTTCAGGTATTTTCTACTGATCTCGCACTGTACAGAAGAGGATGCAACGGCTCTATCCATAGATGGTCATCATTACGGGATAAGTGTTGCGGCACTAGTAATCTCTGTTGGTGATCTTGCTGTCCACCTCGTCCAAGCAATCATGTATTTTTGTCCATGGATACGAAATAAGTTTTCGAGGTATGAGGACATGAACCTTGCAGTGACAGACTTGGTGGGAGCGATCTTGTTGGTTAAAGGGGAAGTTAAGGCTAAAATCAGAATTTCACCAGTTGTGGTCTTCGGGGTGCTGAGTCGAATGGTCTTGGTCCGAGGAAGCTGAGGCGCTCCCTTCCTAGTTCCCAATGGAACTCGCGCACTTCCACCGAAACCGGGTGACTGCGCCCTACTAGATGGGGATTTGTATGCAAAATGTCACTAAAAGCGCCATTTCGTTCTTATAAAAGCACGGATGACCGCGATTGGCCCATATGTTGTAGTCTTTTGGACGCTGAGTCGACTGGTTTTGGTCCGAGAAAGCTGCGATGCAGTGTTCTTCCTTTATTCCCAATCGAACATGGCTGAACAAGCGGTCATGTGCCCCTGCGTGCCCAAGTCACCTGGTCCCAGCGCCAGCAGGCGACAACTTTCACGCCAAGGTTCAACTCCAGTGACAGGACTGCACCCAAAAAAGGTCACAACAGGCTGTAAGTTGTACCCTGCAGGCACGGTGACCAAGTGTCTGGTGTACGCAGGAGCACGTGACCGCTTGTTCAAGCATGTTCGATTGGGAATAAGGGCCGAACGCGGCATCGCAGCCTTTCCGGACCAAAACCAGTCGACCCAGCGTCCAAAAGACTACAACATATGGGCCAATCGCGGTCATCCGTGCTCTAATAAGAACGAAATGGCGCTTTTAGTGACCTTTTGCATACAAATCCCCATCCAGTAGGGTGCAGTCACCCAGTTTCGGTGGAAGTGCGCGAGTTCCATTGGGATTAAAGTAGGAAGGGAGCGTCTCAGCAACCTCGGACCAAGACCATTCGACTCGGCACCCCGAGGACTACAACTGGTGAAATATTTAAGCCATATCCGAACCAACCTCCATCCGTTTAGCATTTCAGTGCAAAGTGGGGTTGATCCTCGTTTTGTACACACACCACACACCATACAACACGCACACGCGCACACACACACACACACAAACTGTTCCATGTGCATTGTGAGTATATAGTCCCGGTGTTAATGGTATGACCTGTGCTCAGTATTTTCGGAGTACATATACTTTGTCATGCAATTACGGTTTACGGCAGGTAGTAACTGGACATTTTCTTATTTTGTGCAGGGCTCTTCAGTGCACCATATTGTACTAGAACCAGAAATTCTCGAGCTGCTGAAACTCATTTTTGCCAACTCTGTGCTTCTTTGATTTTGCTCTCAATTGTCTTCCCAAGGGATGACGGATTGAATGCCGCCAGTATGGAGATGAGTTAAGTGAGCATGCAAGCCACGCAAGCACTTCCTCTTTGGATATCACATTCTTCATCTTGCTCAGCTGGTGAGTGCAAACAATTTGGCACCGAACACAAGCACATCATGATTGTTCTGCTGCGCAGCGGCCTGCCGGGTTATTTTATTTATTATAATTTTATTTCACCGTCCAGTGGCAAAAGCCAATACAAAGTGGAGGGCGTCAGCCAACCATGGCAAAAGAAGGTCAGAAGTTTGGGGTTGGAGCAGAACCCTCCCACCGACCCGCATGCGATACACCCACATTCGATGGAGAGTTCAGTTGTTCTGATTCTCACTTTTGTGTGTGTTTGTATTTTGATTTCGTTCATTTCATTCGGCTATGCTACGCTGTCTTGAATTGGCTCTCAGCGGCAGCGAGTGGTAGGGAAATGTTAGGGTTATCAGTAGGTGACATGTTTGGAGATGTCGTCGCTGTTGCTGATGTTTGTATGCTTGTGGTTCTCTTATGGGAAATCTGGTGCGCCTGTTTACCGTAAGGGTTTTCTGTGCACTTTTGGCTCTTTGTGCCACTTATTTATAGGCCATATGGTGAATTATACTTGGTCCGCCAAGTTAAAATTGGTGCTTATCTTTGCACTTGATTTTTCGGTGTTCTACCTGTGTCATACGGCATGAAACCACCGATTCACCCTCCGACCATAACCATTGACCATTGTATCCGACGACATGGGAGCACAAACCATCACAAAAGTTGCATCGGTTCGTTTGAGTCTTTTTGACTGGAGCTGCCACCAGCGAACACTTCCGTCAGCGCAAGAAAACGCTGCAACCTCCACTCCAGTCCGTAAAATAGGTCGGGATGTTCGCATTTCAGAGCGATGGATAACACAGTTTCTGCCTACTTCCAGCTGTCTGGTGGCAAGGATGGTTTACAGCGCGGGGAGGTATAGAAAAGCTGGAAAAAGCACCTCGCGCGCTTGAATTTCAGTGTTCGCACAGTACGGCGCCTAGTGTCAGTAGTGAAGAGTTATCACCAGCAAATCTCTGACGAAGAAACTGCAGCTCATGTCGACATCTCCAGAAAGTGAGACCACTCCAGCATACACAGAGGACCGGGCAAAGGAGCTTATCAAAATAACAAGTCCTGAGAGAAACTCTCATGCAAAGGACTTTCAAGTTTCAGGAAAATAGCCGAAAAGACTGGTGCAAGGCGTTAGGACTAGTGCAGTACACACAGCCACAGGTCACTGAGGTGCTACATCAAGCGGAAGCTATCACTGCGCTGCATGCACAAGCACCAGCGGCTCGCGTGGGTGCAGATCAGCAAATACGACAAGCGCAAGAGCCGAGGCAATTTGAAAAAAGTACAGTGCTGATGTTGCGTTGCCTTTTTCTCTAAAACAAAGGCAGTATTGTGACAACGGTGTAACACTTACAGCCAACATGCGGGCAGTCTCACTCAGCTTGTGATCGTGGCATGCTCTAATTTGTATTTTCTTCCTGAGACAAGTGTGAAGATAAGCGCCAATTGTAACTGGGCGGACCAAGTAGGAATTAAGGATTCGAGTTCAGTGCAAAAAGAGGTAAAGATAGCTGTGTATATGCTGATAAATGATAAAAGCCATTACCAGTCACTAGCTGTGCTACTCTATTAGTCCCATGATGTGCTAAACGGCTTGAATACAAAGGCAAGTATTTCTCTTCAGGCTTTTCCCGTTGCAGCTCCCTTAAACTATCTTTTTTCTTTCCCATTGGGCACAATAATGCTGTGTGTTTGAATCTACTGTGTATTATACTGTTGATCTACAGGTTGCCATGCCAATGCCCTGTAAGGTTGTGTTTCAAGTCGGAGACTATTGAACACTCACCATCATAACTACAGCTACTAGCTGCCCTGCATACAGTGAAGCTACTTGGATGACCACATCTTCATGCAATGCTGCTGCTGCTGGGAAAGTAACAGCGGGTAGATTCCGACATATTGTTCATTTAACCTATCTAGTACATGACAAACTCACTCCAATTGCACATACTCTTTTTGAACAGTACATGTACTCTGTAGCAATTCTGTCACTACCTCACATCTTTGTTTCATGCAATCAGTTTATGTACTTATTGTAGTCAATGTACGGTAACTTGGTGAACTGCCTGATTTCGAAGCATTGTGCTTTGATTGTCGTTTTTGTTTGTTTTGTCCTGGTTATCTAGTCAGCTCAGCTACTGTTTCTATACAGTCATCCTGTACTGTGATATTTATTATCATAGTTGTACATGGAGCCGCCAGCTAGCACCCATCATTGTGCTGGTGTACTCCACTGGCTCATTTTTCTTTGTGACTTGCATTGAAGACCAGTGCATGCATTA